TTTTTCCTATATTTTTATTTGTTTTTAAAAAATTCTAAATTAATTTTTAGTGACTTTGAAAATAAATTAAAAATTGAGGAATCGTTAAAAAATAAATTATTCAATGAGAAAAACGAATTGGAAAAAACCGCCGGGAAATTATATGGAGAAATCGAATGCGAAAAAAAAAATTTGAAGGAATTAAAACGAGATTATGGAAAACTAGAGGATAAAATAAATTATTATAAAAATTTTGATTTGGAAAATATAAATTTGAAAAATTCATTATCGGAATTGAAAATTCTTTTAAACGAATCAGAAACTCGACTCGAAGTAAATTAATCGTTCTATTTATTTAAAAAAAAAAATTTTTTTTTTTTTTACAATTAATTCATAATCACCTGATATAATTATCAAACACACGTGTAACAACAATTTATCGTTATTAAAAATTAATAATATTATTATTATTATTATTATTATTTTTTTTTTTCGTCATTAGGCACACAGAATAATAATAAAAAAATTAGAAACTGAAAAAATTGAAAGTATTGAAAAACACAGCCGAGAAATATCAAATTTAAAATTAAAAATATCTTATTTAGAAGGTCAAAATAATATTAATAATAATAAGGTAGATTTAAAAGAAAAATCGAAATTTTCCGGAAATGATCAAACGGTTAGTTTTTAGTTACGTCATAATTTAAAAAAAAAATAAAAGCTTTAATGTTTTTTTTTTTTTTAATTTTAGGCGAACAAAGAAATGGAAAATTGTAAAAAAAATGAACCGAAAGAAAGGATTAACATTTGTGAATTGTTATCATCATCAAAAATTAATGATAAGGTTTTGTTTTATTAATAATAATAATAATATTTAATTTTATTTATATTACCTGATATTTTATTTATGTTTACCTGATATTATTTTAATAAGTTAGTAATTATTGGTATATGTAATTTTAGGAAAGTATCGAAAATTTAACAGATGGAAGTAAATTTCCCAATTCGACGACTCCCCTTAAAAATAATAAAAAGGTTTTTTTTTTATAACATTTTTCAAACTTAAATTGTTTTTTAGTCAAAAAAAAAAATCGTCAGAAAGTTCGAATAAAATTAAAACTTTTTAATTTTTTTAGTTTTTATCGACTCCCCGTAAAATTTTAACATCAACCCCCCAGCCTAAATTAAGGAGTTTAACACCGATACGAAAAAAAAGGGATCCCTATGAATTCGATAGCGACGGCAGCACGGAAAATTTCGACGTATGATTTATTTTAACGAAAAATCGTTTTAATTATATTAAAATCATTATATAATTAATTAATTAATTATTATAATAATTTTAGCCGGAACGTGTACTAAGAGTTTTTGGGGGTCAAACAAAAAAAGAAAATTGTAAAAAACCCAAGACGAAAAACAATTATTAATTAATTATTAATTAATTATCAATTAATAAGGGAAAAGATTTAATTTAATTTATTAAAAAAAGAATATACTTATTTATTTTATTTTTTTTATATATAAATTTGAATTTATTAATTATGATTCAATAAAATTGAAAGTAAAACACAAAAAAAATTGATTTACGTTTTATTTCCTTATCAATGATAAAAAAAAAATTTCCCTGCAATTTAAAAAAAAAAAAAAAAATTTTTTCTTAGGTTGGTATTAGTAAATTTACCAAATAAACAAACTACCTCTATTTATATTCAGTTAGGTTATCGGTAATGAAACATTCTAGAAACGAAATATTAAAATACAATGTTGGCTCTTACATGAAAAGAAGACATTATTCGGTAAGATTTTTTTTTATTTACTACATTTTTATCTTTTATTATTCGTTTCTAATACCATCTTATTAAAACATAACCTTTAGTTGTAATGAAAATAAACGTTGTAACTGGAATTTTTCATTAAGTAAATTTACTTTTTTTTTTTTTCTTTTTTAATATAAAATTTTTAAGTTAAAACTAATTAAACGTTTAATTATCATCGTAATTTTATTTTAAATATAAAAAATTTTTCTTTCGAATTAAAATGATTGATTTATTGATTTATTCGCGGTATTTATTATTTATCGTCTTTTTTCTTAATTTTTTTTTAAATTTTTAAATTTTCTTCTTGTTGTTATTAATTCAATTTTGTAAATTTTTAATTAAATTATGTATTTCCATATTTGGACTCTTTCCGAGTAAATAATAATGATTTCATAATCATTTTACGATTGTCATTTTAATGTAAGTATCATTTACAGATTTTGCTTTTTATTAATAATTTTAATTTTTTTTTTTCTCTTATATATAGGATAATGAAAATTTTAAAAAGTCTGATTTAGTTTTATTAAAAACTGTATCTCATTTAACATTATCATCGGTTGTCGAGAATGAATCGTCTCATGCGAATTCAATTTTATATAGTTGTATAAATAATGATCCTTCAGTAGCCGAATCACAATTTTTAAAATTAAAAAATTGGATAAACGAATTAACTAATACTACAGTTAAAAATGAATTAAAAGAATTATTATTTCCATTATTATGTCATTTGTATATTGAAATGCTAAGAGGGGGTCACAAAAATGCGGCAGGAACTTTTCTTAAGAAAAATCAATCGATTAGTACGGAAGAAGAGGCGATATTAATGTTAGAAGAATTGGCAAGCATTGAAAGTACAAAAGATATTGAAGAAAAAGATATTGTTCAAAATCTTAGGTAACTAATACTATTATTGTTAACATTTTTCAATTTTAATGTTTTTTTTTTTTTTGGGGTTTCGAATGCTTTAATTAAAAAAATTTTTAGGTCTTCAAAGTATTCATTAACATTATCGTCTACATCGATTGAAATATTAAAACAGTATTTAGTTAGGCATTCGCATATAATATTATTACAAATGATAAATTGTTGGTTTGATTTCGAAGAAAAAAAAACTCAGGATGCGAATGTAATAGAATCGGAGGAAAACGAAGTCATTAATCAGGTTTGTAAATATTTATACAAAATTTATTTTGTAGATAACTTAGATCACAATAAGTCAATTGTTTCTTTTTATTTAGCCTTGCAACGGTTATCCTGAAATTCAACAATCGGATGGAGATTTAGCTAAACTAGAAGAAATAATTAAATTAGTCAATGAAGTACCATCGACTAGTGGTCCTTTACTTTTATATTCCGTTTATAACCCTGACAACAGGTAAGTTTTAAATCGGTTAATAACTGTTTTCCCAACTGCGAGTACTTTCTAAACATTTTGATTTTAGTATAACATGTGGGCAGATATCCGAGGATACTCTGTATTTAGCAGCTGGTTTAAGTACATCGGAATTACAGTTGTGGAGTTTAACGGAAAATAAACGGTTAAGTAAAAAACCTTGCTCAAGTTCCAAAATAAGATTGGCTGTCGATATTGATGATTCAACTGTTGAGACTGAAAGTAAAAATATAAGGTAAGAGGAAAATTAAATTTATAAATTTTGAAGAAAATTTGTTTTCCAAATTAAAAAATTTATCGTTTTAGCGAACCAGTAAGTAGCATCACACTTAGAAGTCATTCGGGTCGAGTTCAAGATTTAGCTTTCATACCTAATAATGATTTATTACTATCTGTTTCAATGGATAAAACAATGCGTGCCTGGGACCTGAAATCTTATTCTTGTCGAGCGGTGTACAGGTTAATTCATTATCATTCATTAAAAAGCCTTTTATCTAATTTTATTAGAATGTTGGAAACAGAAAATAAAAAAAAATAAGATTGTAAGATGATAATAATTTTATTTTTATTTCAGGGGACACAATTATCCCATATGGGCAATCGATGTAAGTCCTTTGGGAGTATACGTAGCCACAGGATCTCATGATAAAACTGCTCGACTATGGTCACTTGAAAGAAATTATCCTCTTAGAATTTTTGCTGGTCACGTACAAGATGTAGATGTGAGTTTATTTAAAAAATTTTTTTTTTTTTTGATTTTTTTTATTCGACTTGTGAAATATCATTTAATAAATTTTTGTTAGTGTTTGAGATTTCATCCTAACGGTAGTTATTTAGCAACCGGATCATCCGATAAGTCTGTTAGATTGTGGTCTACTTCTTCTGGAGAATTAATGAGAGTATTACCTGGACACAGAGGAGGGATTTATGCTCTTTCTTTTAGTCCGAATGGAAAATTATTAGCGTCTGCTGGTATGTAAAAAATAATGCTTAAAAAAAAATTTTAATCCTCTATTGAAGACACTAGTCAGTCATTTAATTCATTTTCATTAGGTGAGGATAGAAGGATAAAAATTTGGGATATAGCAAGCAGTAATGTAATAACAGAATTAAAAGGACATTCTGGTACAATTACAAGCCTAGATTGGAGTCCGAACGGTGATTTTTTAGCATCTTGTAGTTTCGATAATACATGCAGAATTTGGAATGTCAAAAATTGTTCAAGGTCATTCAAATATCTCATTATATATTTTAAAATTTTTAAAAAATTTATCTAATGCATGAAATGCTTTTTTTTTATAGCAGTGATGAACACAGTGCACTACAACCAGAAATACATAATTTAACGTGTAATTCTTTGTTTTCCGTTAAATATTCAAAACGAAATACTCCTATTTGTGTAGCCGGAGTACAAGAACGACTTTAATTTATTTATTTTAATTAAATTTTTTTTTATATAAAAAATAACACGTTATTATCATTATTATTTTTTTCTATTAAAAATTTTCCTGTGATTTTAAAAAAAAATGTATTTTTCTTCTGAAATTATAAACGCTTAATACAAATTTATTTTTAATCAGGTATACTTGATCGTTGAAAAAAATTGTTAATGAAAGTGTTTTTATTTAAAAAAATAAAAAATTAATAAATATAAATTTTAAATTTTATTTGAAAAAGAAACTGATATATCCATCTTATTTGAAATAAGCGGGTTAGACGTGGCACTAGAGAAAAAGTGCATAGCAGCAGCAAGCTGATAGTTTGATGCTTGCAAGGTATCAAGAGGCTGAAATGTCTCCTATTAATGAGTAATGGATTTACTAATCAAATTAAGTTTTTATTATAAACTATTTATTTAGTTTTAAGTAGTAAAAAATAATAATTATCGTATTGTGTTTAAAAATGAGTGTAGAAAATGAAATAATTTTCAAATGGACAAATTTGTGTCGGTTGTGTTTATCTTCGGAATCGCATATCGATTTGTTTTCTTCGGAAGTACTTTCTCAGGATTGTTTGTCAAAAATACGAAGTTGTTTAAATTTGCTCGTAAGTAGACAAATAATTCGAAATGAGATTTATCATTTTAATATTTACGATTCTAATATATTTTATTTGGATTACTTTAACTATGCACTTTAAACAGCATACAAATAAGAAATAATAAAATTGTTATTTACTTTAATTTCACTGAATTTAAAATTTAAAAAAAAATCTAATTAATAATAAAATTTTCATGTGGAATTATTTATTTTTAAATGAACTGTCGTTCATTATAAGTATTTTTCGATTTCAAACTTCAAATTTTTTAATTTATTATAGATTTATCCTGGGGATCCTATGCCATCAAAAATATGTTCCAAATGTCATACCAAATTAGATGAATGGTACCAATTTAGAAAGGAATGCATACAAAGTGAAGTAAATGTCAAAAAAAGATTGCAACCTTATCAGGACATCAAATTTGTTAAAGAATATTTTGAGAGATGTGCCAAATTTGAATCATCTGAAATAGTTTCTTCTAGTTCCAAGCCAAATCCTCCTTCAGTCCAAAATTCAGATGAAGTCAATTCTTCTATTTCTGTACAGGTAAAAAATCAATAGTAATTTATTAAATTATATAAAATTTAATTTTACTTAAAAGTTGTTTTTTTCGACTGTAATTTATTATGGACTTATAATAACTTAAGAAATGTTTCTTTGATTATTTATTTTTTTTTTTGTAAAATGACTATTATTAATAATTACATTGAAAAAAAGTAATGAAAATTTATTTAATTTCTTTAAGGAATATTCAGAAGAAACCTCTACTCAAAATAATTTGAAAAAAGAATTTTCTGCAGTATCTCAAGAAAATAAAAATACTGGAAAAAGCACTTCAGGTCTGTGTTCTTCGAGTACATTTTCGGGTAAAAAACCAAAAACATCATCAGGAGAACCTGTTGGTAATGTTATTGTCAAGCAAGAGCATTTAACTGAATCTAATAACAAAAAAAATAACACAGAGTGGATGGAAATTGACAATGGGTTAATAGGAACAATCGCTTCCGTAACTGGAGGAGCTTCCGCTTTTTGGGAATCTCAATATCTCAATAAACAAAATGAAAATCTCAATGAATATTACAACAATGAAGAGAGTTATTCGAAAGAAGAGAAAAACAAACCAAATCAATATTTGCAATCTGTCGATGATAAAACTTGCCCCAATTGTGAGTCTGTTTTTGAAACGGAAGAAGAATTTGAATTGCATACATGTTGTATGATTGGAAGTAGTACCAACTTAGAAGAAGAAGAAGACGAAGATGAAAATGGACATTTTGAAGATTCCATATCGTTAGGAAGTGAATATGATGAAAACGAATCATATTTTTTAGAAGATCAACAACTACCTTCAGAAGAAATTTCTGCCGTACGACCAATTAAAATAACTCCGTGGAAATGTATTTCTTGTCATTTGTATTTTCAATCCAGTTTAGAATTACGAAGACATTATTCCTCGATATCTTGTTTAGGAAAGAAAACAAGAGCTCTTGACTGTGAGTTTTGTTACAGACAATTTTTATCTTTTAATGATTTGCTAGAGCATCAAGTCAACCATATTATTATTAAGTTAGATTTAACAGAAGATGATCTCATATGCTGTAGTCAGTGTTCTTTACAATTTCCCAATGAAAGAAGGTTTAAAAATCATCTTTTAGTGCACACGTTAAAACGGAAGACCCCCATCAAGTACACATGCTCCAGCTGCAGTCAAGTATTTTTTCAAAAAGATTCGTACGAGAAACACCTACTGACCCACGTTAAAATGAAAAGTGAAAAAGAATCTGTGCCGGAGAAGTCTAAGGAAGTGGCAGCAGTTACTTACAAGCCGGAAGCACCCGAGAATCCTAGTCAGACCCGGTCGGTTAATGCCCCATCCGAGGAAGAACCAAAAAAGCCACAAAGAGCCATTCGTTGTTTTCGTTGCGGTCAAATGTTCGGGAGTGTTAAGCAGTTGGAACATCACGAAGCGATCAAGCACAAAAATCCTACTCCTTACATATGTCGAAAATGTTGTCTAAGATTTTCCGCAAGGTCGCAACTCCTCATGCATTTAAGAGTGCACATGTCTAAGAGTAATTCAAAGGCATCTTCGAATGCAGAGACTGTAGAGAGTGCTACTTCTTGTACAATATGCTCCGCCAAATTCCTATTGGAATCTGATTTAGAATCTCACATGAAAACTCATAAATCGAATACTTCGGACCCTCCGTCACCCTCCGGTCCTCAGTCGACACCTGAGGAAAACGATAATATTGACATGTTTGCCAGGTATAAATGTTCTTTGTGCTCGAGGCTTTACGTGCGCGCATCTAGTTGCATAAGACACGGACAACAATCTCACAAGGGTCAAAAAGTAATTCCGCTTAAACTTAAAAGATCTGTATTTTTAGGCCGTCGAACCTCTCTTCCCGCAGGCGGTAAAGTCAAACATCAATGTATAAAGTGCCCAAAGTATTTTTTCTCATTTAACGCATATAGTATTCACGCTTATAGAAATCACGGTATCAAAATGCAAGATTCCATGGACGATCCGGGTAGTTTGGAAACGGAAGACACTCCGGATTCGCCGAAGCTCGACGAAATCGAAAGCAAATGTCCATTTTGTTCCAAAGATATAAAACCATCTTACATAAGTTTGCACATAAAGAAATTTCACCGAGGCGAAGTACTCGATCCATCTATGATAGGAAAAGACATTCCGAACGATTCTTGCATATGTCGCTATTGTTTGAAGACTTGTTCGACGCCACACAATCGAAAATTACACGAATCCATACATTATCCGGTCAAGGCCCAGAAAAACCAATGTGAAACATGCGGTCAAAAACTTTCCGATAGGACTCTTTACGAGGATCACGTTCGTACGTGTAAATCCATACGATGTGGAAAGTGTCACAAAATATTTTTCAAATTTGTCAACTTGACCCAGCATTCCTGTGCTGGTAATAAAAGCGACGAAGCTCACAAGTGCACGGTGTGCCTGAGCGCTTTCACTAGTCTCGATCTACTTCAGATTCACATAAAAAATTTTCACGGGAAAAAACCGGAATTGAATGTTCCGCAACCTGGAACGAGTAAAAATTCCGCCAAACGAATGGAACGTGAAATATGGCGAGAAGAATCGAACAAAATCGTTTGCATGGTGGGTGAAAAATTCTACTGTACATTTTGCGACTGCGAATTTTCCACAATACAAGAATCAAACGAACACCGAGCCGTTCATCCGAGGGGCAATTGGTACGCCGTTCAAATAAGCGATTCGTTATTCCAATGCACGATATGCGATAAATTTTTCGAAACGAGAAAAAGTTCCTTATTGCACATAAATTACCACAAGAAAAGTTTGATGCCGGAAACGCCTAAATCGAATTATCCGGTCACGTTCGAACCGGAAGTTGAAATATTCACGGACGTTAAAACCGCGGCGGAAACTCCGAAAATTAGAAAATTCAATTGTCGATATTGCAGCGCAGCTTTTAGAGACGAGGAAAGCCTTCAAGAACATTTGTTTCACACGCACGTAAATCAAACTTAATCATCATTATCATTATCATTATCATTATCATTACGTTTTACTTTCAATCACCATTTTTTAAATATTTAACCGGTTCGTAAATTTCATTTTCGTGACCCAAACCGATGCCGCAAACAAACACCACAACAATCAATTCTTGTAAGTCGCCTCCTGAATCGGAGGGCACATGGGTGCCAACATCTGCGAAGTTGTCTGGATGAGGAGGAGTAAAAAAATTCGTCGAACTATGACCTGATCGACAGAAGAACAAGAATTGTTTTTTTTTTTTTGTCCCGTGGTGTTCCCAAGAGGATAATCACCCACCCCATCCAAAATTGTTGGTGTCACTTGGGTGATGGAACGAGAACCGGTGCTTTCGTCACGGCACGGCTATTTATTATTATTATTATTATTATTGTTTAAAATCGACAAAGTTTCCGTTGGTAACTTAATTACGAATTAATTAATTAGTTTTTAAAATAAAATCCAAAAATTCTTCGATATTGACACTATGTATTATATAAATATATATAAATTTAATTATTTAAATTATAATTAAAGAAAACATTGTGAAAGATATTTGTTGTAGATTGTCGGCCATTTTTTTTTTTACACCCCCGCCCAAATACCCAAATGCTTTTCGTTCCGAAACAATTAAATATTAATGATATTGATTTTTTTTTAATTGGAAAAAATTATGTCGTTTTTTAACGTTTTCTCCATGATTAACCTAATTTGTGCTCGATATTTAAATTAAAAACTAGTCTTTTAAACAAAAAAAAAAATGTTTTCATTTATGGCAATTGTCAACCATTTTGAATTTTTACCGTTAAAATTTTATTCGTTTTATAACAAATCAATCGTCGTTTTAAATGTTATAACATGATTAATTTTTTTATTTTTCAAACATAATAATCTAATTATTAAACATATTATTATTATTATTATTATTATTATACATATTTTGTAAAGGATAAGAAAAAGATAAATAAGATAAACCAAAGGAAAACGATTCGATATTATTATTATTATTATTTATTTATATTTGTATACGGAATTATTTTAAAAAAAAAAAAATTGTAAATTCAAAATGAATTATTATTATTATTATTATTATTAATTTTCTTATCAATAATAATAATAATAAATTAAAAAGTGATCAATGGAAAAATAAATAGAGTATTTTAAATGAAATAATTCGTGTTTGTTATTATTATTTAATTTTTTTTATTTTAAATTTATTATTATTATTATTATTTATTACGTGATTATTTTATTATTATTATTATTTAATATAAAAAAATTTAAATGCTTTTTATTCGATTATTAAATTTTACATAAATTTGATTTTTGAGGAGATGAAAACCGTTAAAATTTAACGGTTTTTTTTTTTTTTTTAAAGAGGTTTAAATAAAAAACAAAATGTCGGAGAAATTTAATAACATAATTAATTGATAATAATTTATTTAAATTTAAATAATACATAAAATAATTTTATATATGATTATAATCACAAAGACAACCATCAATCATCATCATCATCATCATCATCATTTAATATTGCAATTTTATTTAAATAATTAAAAATAAATATTAATAAATATTATTATTGTCAATATTTTATTTGTTATACATACATAATTATTATTATTATTATATGTATATATGACAGATTTAATGGTATTCTTAAATATGAATAAGATTTAATAAGACTACATAATAATAATAATAATAATAATGATGATTTTTTATTTTTTTCCTTTTTTTTTCTTACTAGCAGCATCAGGCCATGGAAATCCTCTATATTTTAATACATCTTGTACATTATGACAAATATAATAAGCATTTTCCATACATGTATCAGTAAATATATCAACATTTATTCTTGATTTGTTAAATTTAACTTTTCCTTCTGATTTTTTTATTTTTGTTTTTTTACCTGACAATAAAAAATTGTAAGAAATTATATTTACTTAAAATCAAGTAAGTAAATTTACAACAATTACACATCAATCATTATTTAATTACCATTTTTTTCCTTCGATCCTGATTTATTATTTGTATTTTTTTTCTTGTTTTTTTTACCACCCATTAAACAAAAAAATTAATTTCTTATTTATTAATAAATCTGTTAAAATGATGTTTAATTTTTTTTTTTTAAAAAAATATAATTATGTTACTAAGTTTCCAATTGTTAAATCGAAGATGTGGTTTCGTGGTTTTAGATGGTGATTTTACATTTACCGTTATTAAAATCATTTAAGGTATAATATTTATTGAAAAAATTAATAAATAAATAATTTATTAAATGAAACCATTAACGGTTTTTTTTTTTTTTTTTTTTTGAAAAATACAATTTAATAATATTATCAAATAAATTTGCCGCCAAATTTTTTCATAAAGGCGCTTTTTCATTAGAAACAAAAAAAAAAAAAAAATTTTCCTGCTGCCACGAATTTTCGAGAGGGAAAAATTTTTAACACCGAATCCACTCATTAAGATGGCGGCCACCGTGGGTAAATTTTACAAAAATGTTTTAAAAAGATATTGTGTAGTTTTAAATCGTCAGCCTAAAATAATAATAAAAAGTTGTGGTGATTCTTTTACAAATTGTAGACATTTGACGTATAATTATCAATATTTTAATTTTATTAAAAATTATAATTCTCTCACATTGATGAGATTGAAATCTACAAAGACAAAAAAAAAATTTAATGATAAATATGAAGATTCAGGTAGTGATAGTGACGATGATGAAAGTGACGATGACGGGGACAATGATGATGATGATGATGATGGGGGAAATGTAAAAACTTACAAAGTTTCATCCTTAAGAATAGATTCAGTTATTAAACGTATACTTAATTTAAAAAGAAGGTGAGTAATTGAATTAAAAATGATAGGTTTATATATTTTCTGTTTGATGAAATTTATTTATTTCAATATAATAAATTATTATTATTACTTTCGCAGAGAAACTGAAGATCTTATTTATCAAAATAAAATTCGAATAAATGGAAAAATGTTGTTAAAAAAAGGAGCAAGCGTAAGAGTTTTTTGATTAAAAAAAAATTTTTGAAATCTTTTTTTTTTTTTTTTAGTGTGAAATATTTAATTATTATTAAAATTATTATTATTTTTCTGTTGTTTAGCTCATGGAAGGAGATGTAATTGATGTAATTAAAAGTACAGATACCGAAACCAAAGATATGAAAAAATTTAAAATATTAGATGTAGATGTAATGGGAGACAATTCGATTTCTATGAAAGTTAAAAAATACAAATCAGAAGATGATAACAGATAATTAAAAATACAAAATTAAATTATACAAACATAAGAAAATAATATATTTTTATTTATCTTTTGGTTTGCTGGTATCTTGAGGTGTATCTTTAACAGTATCTTCAGCTCCACTTTCAGCTGTATCATCAACTGGCTCAACTTTAACATTTTCAGAAGGTAAGGATTGTAATCTTTGATAAATTTCTGTTCTAACATCTGGAAAATATTTAAGTAATTGCTGCCATTCACTTAGTAATAAAAGTAATACTTCCGTTTGACATCTAGCCCTGTAGGAAAAATGATGTTCCGCCTCAATTTGGAGACCCTGTCTTATTCCGAAACTGTCATTTGCATGTAGTGTAAAATGAATTGTTTCAGTTAAATCTGGATGAATGGTGAGCACTGATATCTTTAAATAAATATTACAAAAACTTGATATAAAATTATTATTATCAAATGGAAAAAATGTAATGATTATGATGTGCGATATTTTACCTCCCCCGAATTAATAAAATACATTGTTTGATCGATATCTCCTTGTTGTACGACATAGTTTCCGGTGAAATAAATTGATCTTTTGAGATGAGTGCTTAATTGTGTCAAAAATCTATCTCCCAAATTGTAAAATATGAAACTTTGTGATAAATGATGACCATACATTGCAGTCATGACTTCGCATTGTAAAGAATATGGAGCATTTTTTATAAATTGCGGTATCTGAAATTATAAATATTTTTTATAAACCATATACTATGATTTTATTTCACTTATAATTAATATATATATATATATATATATTACTTCTTTTATAGCTCTGAGATCCCAAAAATATTTCACATAACTTTTAATTTTTTCTATTAGGAACATGCTGGTTTTTTGAAATTTTAACGAATTTTCTAAATTTAATGCCGTTACTTGATATTGCAATAAAGGTGTCATTTTGTTATTAATCACTCCGGCTACGGACCCCGCAAAAACAGCTTAAATAAAATAATAATAATTATTATTATTATTAACAAAAAAAATTAAAATTATACTTTAGTATTATTATTATTAAATATATTTTTGACTTGCCTACTATCAAACGATTTACATTCATAAAAAAAACTGACATTAATAATTCCATAACGGTGTTAGTACGAATATCTCCATATCCGGTAGTTGTTGTTAATGTAATTACGTAATACATTGACATGGCATAAAGGTCTCTAGAGGTTAACTTATGTTAAAAAAAAAAAAAAAAAACCATTCCATTTATTATTATTATTATTATTATTTATTATTTTTTGTTTTTTTTGTTTTTGTTTTTTTTTTTGTTTTTTTTTTTTTTTTCCCCCCAGTTAAATTACATTACATACATTTCTTACACCAAATGTAGATATCACCCAACTGTTTTTGATTTCATAACCGAATGGTTTTGATATGAAATACCATAAAGCGGCAAAAATATGTATAACTAATGCACCGTTCAAAACAACCCACCTTTAAAACATATTATTATTATTATTATTATTATTATTATTATTATATTTTTTTTAATGTATTTTTTTTTTTTTGCATTGGAATTTTTTTTTTTTCAAGTTTAAGCTTAACTCTTACGTTATTTTAAGAATTAAAAAATTTGTCATTAATTGTTTGTCTTTCCAATTGTAGAATTCACGGACGTAATGTAATCTCAGAATTCTGTTCAATCTTAATATTGATAAAACCATCAGCTTCCAATTTCGTGGAGCCGCAATGCAAAAAGTTTCGAAAGGTACATTTGCCAGAAGATCATATACTAATGATTTTTTACTCGACAAATACCTTTAAAAAAAAAAAAAAACAAACAAAAAAATCCGGTAATTATAATATGAATTGTTTTTTTTTTTTTTTTTTCGGGGGGGATAGGGGAGGGGAGAGAGAGAGAGTAAATTAAAAACCTTTTACTTATTCTTTGCGAATTGATGACGTAATTTCCAAATTTATCGTAGTACGACAAATGTAACTTATACCATATTTTAAAGAAAAAAAAAAAATCTAGAGAGTAGAATAAAACGTTGGAAAACCACGAATATTCTTGATAGCATAATAAGAAAATTGTTAGACCGGTGCTGAAATAGGACAATCCACACGTAGCATTTTCTGGGGAGAGAGAGAGAGAGAGAAAATTTTTTTTTTTTTTTTTTCTATTAGATTCCAAATGTATTATTTTTTTTAATAATAATCTAAAATATATAATATAAACTTACCTATTGTTTTACACAACCACGAATCGTGTAAAAAAACTCTATTAAATTCGCTACTTGGATTTTTATACACGGAATTTTTAAAATAGAAAAGATTATTGTTAAGACGACGATTGAAATCACTTTTTAAAACGGCCGGAATAAATCTAGTTTTCTAAAAAAGGGGAGAGAGGGGGGGGAGGGGGGAAAAACAGAAAAAACGTACATGAAATATTATTATTATTATTTTAAAATTGTTTTTTTTTTTTCTTTCTCTCTCATAACACTTACGGTAACTTCAAATGGTAATGTGTCATCTGACGATTCAAAAAAATCATATTTTAATGGATCCATTTCGTCTTGCATTGGCAGAATATAATCTTCCGTTCTTTTTGTTAAAAATTCAATCAATGATGCCGTATTTGGTAAATTCTATCGTATAAGAAAAAGGTTTTTAATCGAACGAAAGAAAAAAAAATTAACTCTCCTCTCCTCCCCTCCCCCGGTGTAATTAACAATTACTTCTAAATATTTAAAAAAAATTTGACTGTTTAATTGTAATATGTCAACGTTTGTGGCTGCCGTAACGGTTATACTACTTAAAGAAAATGATTTTTTCGATATGTTTCCAAAAAGTCCCCCATTTCCGGTACTTCTGATCATGCCTCCTTTAAAATACACATTTACCTAAAAAAAAAAAAAAAAAAAAAAAAAAAAACGAGCGATTGTCATTTATGTAATTTATGAAAAATGTATTTTGACACCCATTAATCGATATTAACTTTTCCACGGTACAACAAATAAATGTCTTCTTGGACGTCGTCTAAATTAACAATGTTTTCCCCTTGTAAAAAATATAATTCTTTCATGTATTTTCCCATGACTTTAATAACGGATTTTTCCATGTTACGAAAACCTGGGATTTTTCTCAAAACTTCTTCGTACATATCGGCAACGATGCTTTCTCTCAATGCGGCATTTAAATACGTCAACGTCATTTCCGGACTTCCTCCTTCCGTTCTCAACCAATTGTATTGATAATGAAAAATCAAACGATCTTGAATATCTCTGTTAACTTTGGCTTGTTTGAGAAAAAAAATCATATCCAAAATCCCTCTTCTATATTGAATAATTTCATTATTCGCAACCATCATGCTACCGGTTATTTGACAAATAATGTACCTGTTTTGTTTTTGAGAAAAAGGATGCCATCAGTCTAAGAAAACTAGATGAATCATAAGAGAAAAATTTTATTTATTTTTTTTTTTATTTTTCCCGAAATGAATTTTAAACTCACCCGTATAAAAATATTCCAACGATTATAACTAAAATAATAATTAGCATGAGTTCTTTACTGTGTGGTACCAAATCGCCAAATCCGGTTGTTGTCAATGTTGTTGTTACCCAATAATAAGACAAAACATAAAATCTAAAGTATTTCTTTCTATTCTTTAAAAAGAGAAAAAGTGAGAAAAAAAAAAATTAGTGGAATAATAATTTAAATTTAAATTTAAATTTAAATTTAATTTTTTTTTTTTTTTTTTTTTTTCAATTCATTCATTACACGTTTTATCCTATTTTGATCTCTTGATCTCGGCTTACAAAAAAGTTCTAAATGTTCAGTAAATTCTCTCATTAAAACTTTTGATAAATCTTCTGATTTGGGTAAAGTGATTTGACATTGGACTAAAAATGTCGTTTTTTTTTTATTTTATTATATTTAATTAAAATAATTTATAAAAAATTAAATTAAATTAAAAAAACTCACGTAAAATAACAAAACCCGTTATAACGTTCGTTATAATTAATGATAGGGGAAGAAATTTTAATATTTTAATTGCTGATAAAGGTCTCAAAGCATCCCTTTCCAAATATTTACAACCCTTTATTTAAAAAAAAAAAAAAATTTTAATTTTAATTTTTTTTGGTTTTTTGTTGCAGAGAAGGGAAGAAGAGCGGGGAGACGAGGGAGAGAGAGAGAGAGAGAGAAAGGAAAAATTTTTTACCTGAAGGAATTTATAAAATTGTAAAACCATTATAAAACCCAAACCTTTACTTAAAGCCAATGGAGAATTATTTGCGATGGGATATAAACTTTGAGTTAGCCAGTACAATGGAAAAGAGGTAAGGAAATCCAACAGGAAGCTACCTATATTTATTTATATATAAAAAAAAAAAACAAAATCAATATGGTAGAAAGATGGATGGATGGATGGATGGATAGATAGATAAAAAAAAAAAAAAAAAGTATAATTTTTTTTTCAATTTACCTTTTAAATAATGAAGGGAAGTTTTTGCCGGGTGATACATGAGTAAACCGTTTGTATCGTAGTAAGCCACGTGAAACATTATATAAATATCTAACCAGGATAAAAAAACGATCATATAAATGGTTACTTCTAAACGAAGACTGTGTACGGGTAAACAGAAATATAAGGGAGCTATCGAACACAAAATGAATATGGAAACTATTCGTATGCATGTCCAAATTTTTAAATACCGACCTAAAAAGAGAAAGATGTAACACATGTATAGAGAGAGTGAGAGAGAGAGAGAGAGAGAGAGAAAAGGAACAAATTGAAATACTTACTTTGTGGACTTATGACAATGGGTAATAGTAAAAATTGAAAAAATCGAAATTTTCCCCATTTTTTAAACGGTTCCCAATAGCTCGTGGGCGTGGGTTGATTTTTACAATAGCGATGCATGTTTATGCATTCTTTGAACATAATAAAAGTGTTACGTTCGTTTCCTTTTGAATATTTCAATAACAAATTAAAACCTAAATTTTGACGATCGTCCGTATCCGTGTTCCTGAGAAGTTGTTCCATTTCGGCTTCTATTTCCGCTTTAACCGTCGAATACCTCGTCATACCTCTTAAAAATGCCGCGTAATCTAAACTTATTATTTTCGAATGGGTGAGAGTCATTACGTTTATATTTAATTTTGAACCTGTTCAACAATAATAATAATAATATTTAAATCGTGTTAATTTTTTTTTTTTTTTTGATTATTTCCTTAAAAAAAAAAAAAAAACATACTCAAAAGCATTTCGACGTATCCGAAACCCGTTTGGGGACCGATAACGATTTTCGATCCCGTGGGTGACGTGACTTCGCAGTATCCATTTTCTAATATGTATAATTCGGATGCTAAACTACCGATGTAAGTGACAACTTCGTGGGGTGGTAAAATTCTCATTTTGCATGATTTTGCTAAAAACTAAATTTATTATTAGGAATAAAGGTTATGGCGGAAATGAATTTTTTTATGGAAAATGGCGAGAAAAAAATAAAAAACGTACTCGTAAAAAGTTTACGTTGGCCGCATGAAATATAGGAACGCTTAAAAATTTTTTTAATAATTGCGTTAGTATGATTTCTCTTTGTTGCGTCGGCATTTTTTCTAAATATTCTTGTTGGATTATTGAGTACCCGTGATCGTATACCCACTGAGTTCTAAAATAATTTTTAACTCTATTTTGAAGTTCCTTAAAAACGAATAATAAATATTTTAGTGGCCATTTTGCGAGGGGGGGGAAAAAAAAAAAAATGGAAATTTTTCCAATATCAACCTCGGATATTTCGTGATCTATCATAAAACGCGTGACTTGCAATACTTGTTTTTCAAATCTTCTCCTACTCCTTTGACTGAATTTGATGGTGACGGCAGCTTCAGCCGAACAGAAAATGATTAATGCGGTACCCGAAAATATACATAGCAAAACAACCAATATGTCGCTTATTGTTTTAGGTGTTATGTCACCGAAACCCAATCCGGTCAAAATAACGCTTCCCCAATAAAATGAGACAACGTGAGGCCATGCCGTTTTCGGCGACGCAAATCTTTTTTCAACTTCTTCGGCTTCCACTCGTGCAAACCACCTGGGAATTAACGCGAATCGATTAATTATTATTGTTATTATTATTATTATTAAAAAAATTTTTTTTTCTAGGGATTAACCTTTGCGGATCGCATATACGCTTTGGACATCCTTCCAAGTGAAGAATTGAAGCCGCCCAAGTGAGCATTGATACGTAGTAAAAAAAATATTTGAAGATTCTCAAAATGTATATATTTATTGTGAAATTGTTTTCGAGGTCTTGAAAATATTTAACGACTTGCCAAAATTTAAGCGTTCGATTTAATAAGAGTAAAAAAAGTGCATATTCTTCGTTGTCTTCCGATGCGAAATTCGAATAAGCTGTTAAATCAAATGTCGCAATAACATCTAAATAAAAACCGGCAGTCTGGGGAAAAAGAAAAGAATCATTTAAGTAAAATACAAACGGCGGCGGCAGCAGCAGCAGCAGCAACAACAGCAAAACATAGTTTATGAGCCAACCCTTAATTTTTGTGCCACAATGTATTTAATTGATGTTTCAAAAGTAAAATTATCCGGTCTTTGAACCGCCGTCACACATTGAATGAATAAATCGGCAACAAAAACAAGATACATAAAAAATGCTACCGACCCCCTGAATACTGATTTTCTTTGATTGAAACTCGCCCAAAAGGGATACACGTTGAAAATTATGGATACGGAAACGACTATGAAAAATCTCCAATATTTCAATACGGGAGTGTTGGGTCTCAATATGTAGGGTTTACTTTTCGATACGCTCAGAGGTAATAATTTTATCTGATTCGAAATAAAACGAATGAAAACATCATCATCATCATTATTATTTATATATATATATATATATATAGATACTCACTCGGGTTATATTTTCACAAACGACGTACAAATTGAGAACGTTTGTTTTGAATGAACTTATCATAGTGTTATCATCATTTTTTTCATTGTTATTAATTTTGTTTTGTAAATTTTTCAATACTTTTCTTCTCACCGTCATTTGAACATCCGGATCTAAATTGCTGTTGACGAATTTATTTTGATCGTTTTTAGCAATAAAATTAATCCTGTGTAATATTTCCGATCTCATGGACCTGTAGATTTCCGGATGTATCAATGCAATTTTTGAAAATTCTTTTTTAGGTAGTACCTTTAATTAATTATTATTATTATTATTATTAGTATTATATTTGTTTTTTATTTATGTGTGTGTGTGTGTGTGTGTGTAAATGAATTTCACCTGAAGTTCGAGAAATGTCGAAGCACGGATTATATATTTATTTGGAATTGTAAGAAAAAGTGATGCTTCTCCTAATATAGTACCCGCTGTAAATGATAAAAGTGGCGTTTCGTCATTTTCTTCTGAAAGTATTTCCAAAACTCCGGATGCTATACACAACATGGCTTCGCTCATTTCGTAAGGTTCAATAACGATATCACCCGGTAAGAAAGATATATTTGTCATAAGTAAAGACACGCTAAGAAAAGTTTTTAATTTTTATTAAAAAAAAAAAAAAAAAAAGAAAAAAAATGTTTTGGAATAATGTTATAGCAAAACAAACGAAGGAGACTTGGGGGGGGGTGGGTGGGTACCTTCTTAAAAACGATCTCGGTTGCAATGAAAAAATCAACGATCTATTTAAAAATCCAAAATTAATATCGTAGAAAATTTCTCTTCTCAACGACCAAGGTACCAATTCTTTTATATTCGTTGACGTCACTCCTTTTCTATAATCCCAAAAAATTTGTAAATTGTTCGATATTTTATCTATGACTTTTTTTTGTATTTTGTTTCTCTTGAGTATGTACATGGTGTACTCGTATTCGCTCCTGAAATCTTCCCTTTCGGATTCTTTATTTGCTAAAACTATTGTTATTATACCGGGTAATATACCGGTCAACATGATAAAACCCAACAACATTATCATCAATATGGTTATGACTTCATTTTGACTGTTGGGTACTATGTCGCCGAAACCTACGTTAAAACTCGTAGTTATCGAATAATACATGGCGACAATGAATTTATTGACGGATGTCAAGTTCCAATCGACGATGTCCAAATCAAAATGATCTTGTTTCGACACGAATATAACCCATTCGGAAGCGTTTGCGTTTATGCTCACGTAAAGTGAAAATGCAAAACCGAAAAAAACCAAACTCCAATAATACAATTCAACGGATTCGTGATAACCTATGTCGGAAAAACATCTGTACAATCTAAGCAAAGTGAATAATCTGTAAATGAGAAAATCCGTTAGATTCGGATTTTGTTCGAGTATTAGATAAACCAATGAAAATGGAGTTATGGATATGGCATCCAATAACAATTGCCAATTTTTTTTCATTTTGACATTTTTATAATTTTTCGCTTTTATTTTACATATTACGCCAGCACCGAAATCAATCGTGTATATAAGCGTGGTTATGTTAACGATAATGACGATCGGTATCAAATATTTTTCGCTTATAAATATAAAATTAATAACAATTACGATTTCGATAACGGACGTTATCCATACGAACAAGAGCCAATAACGATTTTTAAAAAATTCCAAAAGTTCGAGTTCTTTGCTTACTGGTAATTTTAATGCTTGGACTTCTGTTTTTGTTACCCCATCATCATTATCCGTTATTTTAGCATTAATTATTAACCACTGTCGTAAATTATCATTTTCAACTTTTTTACGTATACCGATTTGATACGTCGACATTTTTTTTTTACACACACATATACGATGTTAATAACATTTGATTAACAAAAAAAAATGTCACGAATACATCATTTTTAACCCCGTACGGGTATAATTTATATTTTTCTTTTTTTTTTTTTTTTTTTTAAATATTGTTTTAGAACGAGGAAATGTTATCAACCTGTTGTTGTTATTTAAACAAGTATTTTAGTTTTAATTGTTTATTATATTAAATTAAAATTTTTTTAAATATTATTTTTAAATATATAAATATTATTTAAAATGTTTCAAATAATTTTTTAACCTGAAATAATAAAATCAAAGGGGGGGAGGGGAACTCAATGTTATTGTTTTTTATTATTATTAAAATTATTCGAATGATGATGATGATATGATTAATTTTTTACAGAGTGAATAATTAAATGATGTCATTTGTAATTAATTTTAATAAAAATATATATATATTTTGCGTGTGTATTATTTATATAATTTAAATTTAAATTTCGGATTTTCGTAAAAAAAAAAAAAAAAATCACTTAAATACTACGCAAAATGTAAACAACCACTAAGAGTAAAACTACTTTATTTTTCTATTAACTGCTAAAATCAATGCAGGTTCTTTTTATCTACATATATATGTAAATTATTGAAAATATTTTTTTTCGTTTAAATTGATTACGATATTAATAATAAAAAAAAAATTATTAATTTTTATTTAATAAAATTTGTTTATTAATTTTATTAGAATTTTTTATAATTTTTTTTTTTTTTTTATTAAAAAAATACGAAAAGGAAAAAAATTTATAAAGTATTTCAACGACTAATATGTCGGAATGTGGCACTTCAAAATGGCAGCCATGGCTTGCCAACGAACGATAAATTTCTTTGTGGGGTTTGGGTTAAATTTTTATAGTTTTGTTTTGATTGTTTGATGTTTTTATATAATATATATATTATTTAAAATAAATATAACTTGTTATGCTTTTTTATATTAATTATAAGTGCGGTGTGACATTTTTTTCAATTAAAATTCGATTGCTTTAAGCGTATAATATTGGAATCATTTGCGTTGGGATTAATATTTTGTGATTTTTTTTTTTTTTTTTTTTTTTATTTTTTCCTTTTCGATGTTGTTGTTGAATATATATTAACTTCATAAAAAAACAGGTGAGATATTTTTTTATTATTTAATTATCAATTTACAATCGTATTCAAACGCGTTTTTTACATATTCAATTCTATAAATAATGATAATAATAATAATAATAATATTAAAATAGTTTAAGAATTTGAATGTCCTCGAGTCCTATGCAACGGAAGTAGTAAACCTTATGTTGTGCCACCATTTTACTATAAAAATAATTATTTTATTAATAGTTTTTTTTTTTTATTATTTTTTATTTATTTCTTATTTCGCACGTTAAACTGATTTAATTTAATTTAAAAAAAAAATCAAAAATTTTAATTTTGCAATTTTATTTTTTATTGTTTAAATTATCGTCCTTAAAATTTTTTATAATTGATATTTCCAGTTGGCCTAGAGTTTTATAGTAAATTATGCCATAATTAAAATATTTTCATACAATAAAAACTCTCTGTGTGTCTTTTTTACAATAGCATTGAATCATATGAGTCTTATTTGTTTACTTAATTTGACTTATGATAAAAAAAAAAAAGAAAAAAAAAATGTTTTTAGTTTAAGGTTATTAATATTTTGTTATTAATAATAATAATAATAATACTATTACTATTTTTGTATACAATTTCACAGACTAAAGAATTTTGTTAACAAAAAAACAAAAAAAAAAAAAATAGTGTATTCAATATTTTTACAATAAAAAAAAAAAAACCCGAATACAATAAATATTTTTTTTCATTGAAAATTTTTTTTTTTTTTTTTTTTTTTCGTACATTTAATACATCCATTTAATATCAAATCAATAAATGATTATTATTATTATTATTGTCAGTGTAAATTTCATATCGAGTCGCTTGATAGTCTTTTTTTTTATAATTTTAATCGAGAACGGTTTTGTTTTAATCAACATAACTCTCGTTAAATGAAAATCTTACCATGCAAGTCATTTATTTTTTTTTTTTTTTTAAATAATTTGTTTTATTATAAATTATTTTAATTAAAATTTTGTTAAATTAAACAACTGCATTTTGTCATGTGATTAAATTATTAATTCCCTGTGATTTGTTTCTTTTATTTTCAGATGTGATAAATCATGTTGTAAATCGAAGACAACAATTTTTTTTTTTTTTCTCTCCCGATAGTTTAGTTTTCGAAGGGGGGGCATAAAGTTCTTTTTTTTTTTTTTTTTTAATTATTATTAATAATTTGTGGTTTATTAAACAATAAGTTATAATCATAATCTATATTTTTTTGATTTCATTCATGGGGGAAAAATGTTTAAAATGATTGATTAGTTATCGATTGTGAAAAAGTGTTTGTGTGTTTTACAATTATTATTATTATTTTTGTGTTTCGAATGAAAATTTTTCATTCTTCAGCCTCTGGGAATGATTGTTAACATTAAAGTGAAACATATTTATAGTGATTGAAATGATATTGACCTTGGTCTTAAAAATGATAGTAGGTTGTTATTAAATCAAGTGGTTGTGTTAAAGAGTGCAAAATTCCGTGCAGCAAGTGGTGATCAACTTTTATTTTGTGAATACATATATATACATACATACATACATACATATATATATATTTATATTTATATATTTGTATATTTGTATATATATATATATATATTTAAGCGATTTTTAAACGTTGTTTAATTTTTTTTTTTTTTTTTTTTTTTTGTGTGTGATAATCAATGCTAGATGAGTTTTTAGTTGCCCGCCGGCGCGGGCGGCCCCCTCGCCGCAAACTATAGAGCATGGGCCACCAGCCTGTCACTATGAACCCTAACACCACTGGCAAATCATCAACTCGTTCCTCTTCTGGTTACCACCTAAAGGCTTTGGCCGAGATTCGTAATTCTTTGTTGCCTTTTGCAAATAGCGGTGAGAATGTTGGTTCGAGTGCTGCAAGCACCATATCAACTCTCTCCACAACTTCCGGCGTCAGCTCTGCTTCCGGTTTAAGCGGCTTGAGCGCCAGTTCTGGCTGCGTTGATAAAGAACAGCTCAACGCCATGGGGTACAGTGAGGTAAGTCATCATTAACTAATATTTTTCTTTTTTTTTTTTTTTTTTTTTAAAAAAAAATTTTCAAGTATTGCGAAGTATTAAATGATGAAGGGATAATCCGATTGTGTCCTTATTCGATTTCAACTCATTGTCTCTTTCCATTGTTTAAAACGTTGCACAGCCATTTTTTTTTATTCTTCTTCTTATCAAAAAAAAGGAAAAAAAAAAAGGAGTATTTAAAAATTTATAGTATTTCAATTTACTAAAACAGAAAGTTTGTGTCTTAGATAGATGAGTAATGATTTCATACTAATAATAATAATAATAATAATAATAATCTTGGTTAGAGATGTGTTTTTGGTCTTTGAAACTTTTTCGATTAGCAAAATCTTTTTCATTATTATTATTATTATTATTATTATTATTCATATTTAAACAATTTTAACCGCGAAACATTTTCCTGTCGATGATTTAATCCATTATTTAACTTTTAAAGTTTTTTTCACATATATATTGTATAAAAAAATAATTAAAAAGAAATTTTTTTTTTTTTTTTAATAATCTCTATTATTATTTTATATTTTATTCTCGGGTGGGTTTGTTCTCCTTCATATTTGTCAGTTCGTTCGTTCGTAATGTAATTTTTTTTTTGTTGTTTTATTTAAAAATTTAAATAATTTTCAAATTTGTATATAAATTACGTATGGTATACTTTCGACATTATATATATATATATATATATATATATATATATATATATATATATATATATATATATATATATAATGAATTTAATGAAATTTGAGATGAACAGCTGTGTGAGTCGACACAAATTGAAACATAAGGTTATTTAAAAAAAAAGTTTGCAGTGTACACATTGTTGTTGTTGTTGTTGTTGTTGTTGTGTAATTAGAAACCCATTTTTTTGATCGAATTTTTTGTAAAAAAAAAAAAAAAAAAAAAAAATTAGAAAACGAACGACATAAAACGTAATTGTAATAATTAATTCTCAATAGAAAAAGAATGAGAGAGGGAGAGAGAGAGAGAGAAAAGAAAAATTCATTAATACCTTTAAATCCAGTAATAATAATTTATTATTAATGCCTTCAATGCAACTGAACTTTTACAAGGCCACCATCACCATCACCACCACCACCACCACCATTATTCTGTTGTGATGAACACACAAACCATTGGTAAACTTATAACTTGGTAATTTTTTCTTATTTTCGTAGATGAACCTAACTTATTTAGGCAGGTTTTTTTTTATATGGTTAAAATGTATTAAAGGAGGTATGCAATCGATTTAACTAACAATGAGCATTAGGGAAAAACAATTTATATTATTATTATTACTATTCTCGTCGCACGATCATCAATCCAGTTCCATTACTTATTTATTTATTTATTTTTATATTTTAATTATTATTATTGTTATTGTTATTATTATTATTATTATTATTATTATTATTATTTAGCGGAAAAATGTCAGGTTTTTAATTAATTAATTTTTCCGAAGGAATTCTTATATATATATAAATCGCTTCTTTTTAAAAGTTATTCGAATATTATTATCATTATTATTATTAGTTTTTGTGTGTGTGTGTTGAGTCGAATTCATTCTTATGGTTTTCTCTCTCTCTCTCTCTCTCTTTGATTTGTATCGTGTTAGTTGTCAATAAAAATTTTAATAGTGAAAGTATGATAAATGGATCGAAGGAATGTGGTGTCATAAATGAATTATAAAAAAAAAGAAAAAGAAAAAGAGTGAGAAAGATTAAAATAATAATAATAATAATAATAGGAGTAGTAGTAGTTGTAGGTAATAGTAAGAATCCAAAAAGAAAAGAATTTTTTTTTTTTTTTTTTGGATCTTTCGATTTCGTTGAAGTGCTTTTTTTTTTAAAAAAAAAAAAAAATGTTGTTGTTACTATAAGCATAAAACCACTCGTAAAATTTATCCTAAAGCCGCAGGGAGGTTCATCAGGCACGTGGTAAACCAATTTCTACGTTATGAAAAAAAAAAAAAAAAAAAAAAAAAAAAAAAAAAAAGGACTTGACTTATGACCATGGAGACCACGCTTTGAAAAGAATTCTTTTAAACTGAAAGGAATTTAAAATGCCACTCCATCCATTTAAAAAAAAAAAGAAAAAAAATTCTTCGAACAGTATTAATAATAAAATTTAAAATAAAATAAAATGAAGGAGCCTTTTTTTTTTTGGCGGGGAGACGTGGGGAGAAGGGCGAGGGGTTTTATTATTATTATTATTTTTTATTTTCATACGTGAATCGAACGAAAATTTTTTAATTAATTTTACAATCAATCAATCAATCAATTGACAATTTGGGTTGTGATGATTCGTTAAGAAAAGAAATTGATAATGATAATGAAATCGAAAAGGTTGTAATAATAATGATGATGATGATGATAAATGTGTTTCGATTTTAACTTTCCAAGCTTTTTTTTTTTTTTTGTTTTTGCTTGCTTAGCCGAAATTCAAGTGAAAGTAAATACGCCCAAAAAAAAAAAAAATATTTATTGTTGTATGCATATTAGGTAGGGGAAGGAGCCTACACGTTTAGTATGTGAGATAATGTCGCGGTTTTTCTTTTTTCTTTTTTGCGCAGATGTTTCGCTTTAAATATTTTTTTTGTTTATTTAATATTGGGAAAATTTTCTTTTCTTTTTTTTTGGGTCGCTTTTACCTGCCGATTAAAATTGGCGCGCGCGATTGGGCCATGGAATTTCTATCCTCACATTTTTGTTACGGGATGAATTCCTTTAGGTTCTCCCCAGGAAGGAGTAGATTCCTTCGTGTTCTTCATGGTGGTTTTTAAATGAATCTTTGAGTTTTCTGTATCTTACAATTCCTCTCTCTCTCTCTCTCTCTCTCTCTTTCTTTCTATCTCTCTTTCTTTCTATCTCTATCTGCCTCTCTCTCTTTCTTTCTATCTCTATCTGCCTCTCTCTCTCTCTCTTTCTCTCTCTCTCATTACTCTAGGGATTTATTTATTTAGGTATTGTTTTTGAAAGGATTCATATCTTCGCGACAAGTTTCACTTTTTTTTTTTTTTATTATTATTATGTTGGCAATTATTGTTTTTTTTTTTTCAAAATCTCGAAAGAAGGGGGGGGGTTTTTTTTTGGGGATTTTTTAGGAATTTTTTTTTTTTTTTTTTTCAAATTGTTTGTGCCCGGAAGAAAAAACATCAATAATAACTTATTTGCGTCATTGGGTTTTGTTTTGTTTGAAACATTTTAAAATGAAATTTAATTGGTTTTATTATTATTATTATTATTATTATGTTTCATACATTTAGCTCGTGAGTTTAGGACTTTGGTAATCATCACAAAGTAGATAAAAATTAATAATAATAATAATGATAATGATAATATGGTTTTAAACAATTAATACGGAAGATGAACAACACCCTGGGCAATAATATCTTACCAAAAGATTTCATAATTTAAATTCTTTTGTAATTTATCACGGTTCTTTCTTTCTTTCCTTCCATCTATCTATCTATCTATCTTTGTTTCTTTCTGTCTTTCTTTATTACTAAATTCTTTTAACTCCTTAAATGTTTGTGTCAAGTCCTCGTAATATATATAAATATAAATATTTGAAAGTATTTCGCTTAGCGAACAATAGTTTTTTCTCTCTCTCTCTCTCTCTTTAATTTAATTCTCTTTATTTATTCTTCTTAACTGCAAAGACTTGCGAAATAGAATATTTGCAGTTTGAAAAAAAAAAAAAAATTGCTTGTCGTTTTGCATGTTTACTCGTTTAATTCAAAGATATATGTGTGTGCGTGTGTGTGTGTATACAATGTAATGTAGGCGATTGGGTCAAGGTTGTTCTTTTTAAGTTTTTCTGGCACGTCAAAAAAACATTTAAGGTAACGAAAGCTTGGGAGGGGGAGAGGGGAAAGGAGGGGGGTGGGGGAGGGGAGGGATTTTACGAATGATTATACGATGCCCTTATTCACTGTAGGAAAAAAAATGTCGAGAAAGTTTTTCCAAACTTTTGAACCGAAGGAAAGCGATGGATAGGTTAATTCGATAATTCCACGTCCATTAAATATTTGCCAAATTTAGGGGAATGGGATTTACCGGAAAGTGAAAAATAATAATAATAATAATAATAATATTTAGTGCGATGTAAACAAACAATTTTTCTTTTGTTCGAATAAAGTTGGCGAACTGAAACGAACTTTTCAACCGTGATATTATTATATTCTCGATCTCGTTTCGTTTATAATATAACGTTTTAATATATATATATATATATATATATATATATTTTGGTAAAGATGTTTTGAACATCTGTTTAAATATAATTATTTAAAAAAAAAAAAAAAATTCTTTTAAGAAACTAAACAAAAAAGAAAAAAATTAAAACCATATTAGGGAAATTAATGGATTTAATTGAAACTTTTAATTTCTTGTTTGTTTTTTGTTTCTCTCGAGTTGCGACATTTTTTTTTTTTTTTTGTTTTTATTTTTTTGGTAAAATGAAATATTTTTTTTAATTTAACGTTTTTTCTTTCTTCTTCTTTTTGTTTTTATGTAATGGATTAATTAATTAAAACCGTCGGCGGGGTTTCCCCTTATTTTTCGTTTCCGTTGTCGAAAAGGAGAAAAAGTTGGTGATCGAATGTTTTTATTGTTTTCGTTTTCATAAGCTAAACACGTTGAATTTTTCTTCTCCCATTTTTCGATTTCGGAAAATAAAGGATTGCGTAATAATAATAATAATAATAATAATAATAATAATAATAATGAAATGTCGTCGTTTACAAAAAAACTAATAATTATATCTACGATAAGTAAAAATTCATATTTACTGTGTTGATCAAATTGTAAAAAAAAAAAAAAAAATGGAGAATGAAATGAGAAAACAAAAAAAAAAATTGATTTTGGACATTTCCATGAACCTACGTACGAGTACCCATACCTGTACACCAAAAAAGAATGTTCGAGTTAAAAAAAAAAAAAAAAAGGAATCCAATAATTTGAAGTGTAAGACGTGTAAAAAAGGTAGAAAAAACAGACAATGGTCAGTCAGTCAGTCAGTCAATCAATCAATTCGGGTTAAAAAAAATAAAAAATAAAAAAAAAATAAAATTAACTCAAATACTTGAAATAAGAAAAAATAAAATGGATTCCGATGAATTTTTTTTTTTTTTTTATATTATTAAACGGGTTATTCCTTGGCACGCCTGAACGCGACCACTCAACATCGCACATTTTCTTTCATGGGTAGGTACTCGGCGGTGTTGGTGGGGGACGA